TCATATGCGATTATATGATATTATATAATGCTATTATATGCGATTATATGATATTATATGCTATTATATGCGATTATATGCTGGCGATTGAACTGTAATTCTTGAGTCTACCGAATGCGATTATATGTTATTATTATATGCTATTATGTGCAATTATATGCAATTATATGCTATTATATGCGATTATATGCTATTATATGCTATTATATGCTATTATATGCTATTATATGATATTATATGCTATTATTTGCGATTATTTTCAGTATTCATTCAGTATTCATTCAGTATTCATTCAGTATTCATTCAGTATTCATTCAGTATTCATTCAGTATTCATTCAGTGTTCATCCAGAGTTCATTCAGTATTCATTCAGTATTCATTCAGTATTCATTCAGTATTCATTCAGTATCCATTCAGTGTTCATTCAGTATTTATTCAATATTCATTCAGTATTTATTCAGTATTCATTCAGTATTCATTCAATATTCATTCAGTATTCGGCATTTATTCAGTATTTAGCGGATTTGTTCATGTGGAGTGTGGCACATCACAACAAAAGTACCTCCTTCCTAGATCAAGAGTATCGTGACATTTGTCCATGTGGAGTGTGGCACATCACAACAAAAGTGAAACATGTTTAACAAGATCGTTACGAATATCACGTGACGGATGCTATTATGACGTACTTGCTTCTTATTGGTCAATTAACTTGTCACGTAACCTTGACATTTCATTTACAAGCTTGTCAGTTTAAAATAATACATTATAGTTATAAATGGCTATGTGGCACAGTTCGTTAGACGTTAGTCTGCCTGCTTGTGAAATGCCTCGCATTCACAGGGTCCCGGGTTCGATTCCCGTCTGTGCCACTAGCTATGGGGAGAGCATCTGAATTTTCCGGGAATCTATTCATGTGGAGTGTGGCACACCACAACAAAGGTGCATTCTTCCTAGATCAAGAGCACCGTGAGGAGTATGGTATGAAGTGATGCTGTATTAAATTATATTGTCAGCTGGTCAATTGTCGAGATGTCAATTGTCGGGGGTTAATTGTCGGGGGGGTCAACTGTCGCCCACCCAATGGATTATATATGTGATTGAATGCTATTGCATGCGATTATATGCGATTATATGCTATTATATGCTATTATATGCTATTATATGCTATTATATCCTATTATATGCTATTATATGCGATTATATGCGATTATATGCGATTATATGCGATTACATGCTATTATATGCTTTGAGAAAAGATCTAAAAAGGTACGTTTTGTGACAACAGAAATCCAAGGTGATGTTTCACAACTACCAAATTGCAGGAAAAATCACCTGATACCTAAACCTGGTCAGTTGCATGCACCAGTAATCGACCGGGATTCCCGGTACCGGGTATCCCGGTACCGGGATTGGCAATTTTGAGCTATCCCGGTCCCGGTCCCGGTCAAATGCTGGTTTCTGTGCAATAAAATCGACAAGAGTATTAGCAGTTATCATTTGAAAGCAAAAATTAATGGTGTGCTGACTACTGGTTATGAATGATAATCCAGAAAGTGATAGATCTCGAAGATGATCTCCGTCTGACTAGTTGACGTAGAATTTACCATGATCTCCTTGTCCTGTCTGGTGTGGTCCTTTAATGTCCCCACTAGGAAGTATTCCTACATGTTGGGTGCAGTCTTTGGTAGACTCAAGAGTTACAGTTCCATCTCCAGGATGATGCTTGGCAATCAGCATGAAAATAAATCTTTGAAAAGATCTTTAATAGGTTGAATGCATAAGTTGGATCATATTCACCCTGCTACTATATGCGATTATTTGCAATTATATGCAATTATTTGCGAGTATAAATAATAAAATGTGATTTTAAGAGATAATATACGTGATTATATATGTGATTAAATGTGATTATATGCTATTATATGCTATTATATGCGATTATATGCTATTATATGCTATTATATGCTATTTTATGCAATTATTTTTCAATTATATGCGATTATTTGCAATTTTATGCTATTATATATATATGCTATTATATGCTATTATATGCTATTATATGCGATTATATGCGATTATTTTGCGATTATTTGCGATTTTATGCGATTATTGCTATATAATGGTTGTTGCATAGCATTATAAAACGTTTGTACTGCAGTTATGAATTCTGTAACCTGCTCATTCTGTGACAAGTCTTTTGCCAATAAATATAGTCTGTCCTCACACATTAGTAGGTATCATCGGGAGAACCGAGAGTCAGATGAAAGTTCTGCAATTCTGCAGCCACTGTCAAAAGCTAACTCAGATGCGACTGATGTCAAAATGGAGGGTCCGGATTCTGTATATTCAGATGCTGATACAATAGTATCTGAAGAATCTCAGCAAGGTGGTTCTAACTCTGATGTACCAGGTAGTGGTGATGATGAATTTAGTGGTGTAACAAGTAGCGATGATGAGTCTAACAAAGAATATAGTGCTAAAGAATTAGAATCTGATACTGACTGGCAACACGTAGGCAAGCGGAAAGGAGTACCAATCAAACAACCAAACAGTAAAAAGATATCGAGTTTACTTAAATCTCTAGACGTCCTGTTACAAAGTAAATTGTGTAAAGAGCAAGATAAATGTTTTGACATTTTATTCTCATACATGATGAAAACCGAATTGTTTGTTGTCTTGAAGCAGCGTTTCATTGACAGCGGAAAAGACCTAACAGATATTTTAAGTTTGGAAGAACGATCTCTATTGGATGCAGTTATCACCACTACAAGTCTATCTGATGTAAACAAACTAATGAACGAAAACACAAATATTGTCGATAAGATTCTCAAACTTTATCTGAATAAATAGTTGGTGGAACTAACTACCAGTACTAGAACCCCATTAACATACAACTGTTATAGATTGATTTATGTACCCAATCTTACTCTTGATGATTTCAATTTATGATTATGGTGATAACAAAAAAAATTATCAATTAAACGGTAGTTTTATTCGTCTCTTGAAATTCACCAAATTTATAACACGCAAATTTAGTAGTTAATAATAGTCAATGGTATGGAGCCTTTGCTACTCCCTAGACTGCAGGGTGACAATGGGATTCGATTCGCCCTGAACCTTTTGTGCAGAAGGCGGTTGCTCTAACCACTAGGCTACCTAACAGTTGTTATATCTTAAAGGGTGAAAATGTGGTTCAGATAGCTGTAGCTATTGCTTAAATGTCAGAAAATTGATGATAAGACTTACAATTCCCAGGAGGAGTGGGGGGGGGGGGGAGTGATGGTAACCCTACACCACATTTCGTTATGACACTCTCTGCTTATTTGGAGTGGTGACTGGACCGGGGTAATTCGTTAAGAATCATTTGACCGGTAATCAAGTGACAGGAGCCTGCTTGGCAACCGTTTAATCAGACTTTAGATCCTTTAGACAGAATTATTGATTTATTCATCATGACGTTCTGACGGATAATCAAGCGACTCCTGTCACGTGACCTCGAGGTTCAAATAACATTCATGTCACATGATGCTAAAGTTAAACACGTGACGGTGTCACATGATGCTAAAGTTAAACACATGGCGGGTAATCAAGTGACAGAACTGTTTGACACACCGTTTAATCAGACTTTAGATCCTTTAGTCGGGATTATTAATTTATTCATCATGACGTTCTGACGGGTAATCAAGTGACTCCTGTCACGTGATCTCGAGGTTCAAATAACATTCATGTCACATGATGCTTAGGCTAAACACGTGACCAGTGATCAAGTAACAGGAACCTGCTTGGCAACCGTTTAATCAGACTTTAGATCCTTTAGTCGGGATTATTGATTGATTCGTCATGACGTTCTGGCTCCTCATTGGTCAATTATCTTGTCACGTGACCTTGACATTTAATTAACGAGCTTGTCACGTGGTTACATGACATGTGATCTGTCACGTGACCCTTGTGACGTGCTGTCAGTGGCTGGGGGTCACTTGATGGCTGGCCTTCACAACTTACCATCTACTTGATGACATTAACTTAATTTATTTTTTTACATGATACTTCTTATTAGTGTGGTGACTTGGGGTCCATAAATATAACAACACAAGCTGATAAACCAAAAAGAACAACTGTGGTAGGAAGGTAGCCCTGGTGGGTGCGTAAACTTTACGGTCTGCTCTCTCCAAGATCAGCCTGCTTCTCCATTTTACCGTGAAGCCTAATTTCTAGTTTGTATAAATGCAATGCAAGTGCATGTTTACTAATCTTAATCTGCTTAACAACTCAATAGCCCAAGTCACCATACCCGTAGTATATTGCATGGTAATAGAAGAACTTTAAAGTTTTTCAAATTGTTGCTATAATTGATTTAAATAAAAATTTGTTGTTTTCTTGAAACATTTGTTGTTTTCTCTTGATGTAATGAGTCATCACGAGGAGAATTGAACATGATATTTCTGACTAAAAAGTTTCAAGTACAGTAAAACCCCAATTTACGGTACAGTTTGGGAAAAAATCGTGATCAAATTGAACAAGCAATAAATGAATTATATACAAATTCGCAAATTCGTTATGGTAAATCGGGGGTTTTACTGTAACATTGCTTTTGAATCTCGCCTATATTACAATCTCCGGAAATATTTGTGTAATATAAAACATTTAATAATTAAGCAAACCTTCAAGATCTTACAAATCTCTACTATCAAATCTCTATTACCATATTTTACTCCACTTATAAAGCTGGTATTTATTTGAATCATTGAATCGAAGAATCAACAAATTGATTCAACAGTTCTGGCGATTTTAAAGCCCATTTAAAATCAGCAAACCTCTTGATATACATTGTCACTTAATAGATATGACTTTGTTTAAATGATCTGACTTTATGCTGCAACTTATTTACCAAAATATGGCCTACTAATATTATATTAATATTAATCTGATTATAAAATTATTAGTTTGTGATTCCAAGAAAGATGCAATTGTTGATCTTAAAAACATCATAATGTTGTTCCAGGTTATGGATACAGGAGATGGAGAGTGGAACAGTAAAGTTGACTCCTTGTGTGCTATGTTTCCCAGTCAGCCACGATCCATTATAGATTCTGTAAGTTTTGAATTTTAAACGGCCTCAACCTTAATATGGTTCTTGCTATGTGTTGGTAGTGAAGGTGGATGGGCTAACCTCTTTTTATAGACCATATTACATTTCCATTTCCCAAGTCTCCAAATTGTATAGTTTGTATAGTTTTGCACTCATTCCTAACACACAACTTACAGGTGCTCATAAATAACAATGGAAATACTGAGTCAGCTGCAAACCAGTTGATAGATGTAAATACTGCTAATACTGACGTTCAAGGTTTGATGCAGGAGGAGACCACAGTCCTTGCAAACATCAAGTAAGTCGGGTGTTCGCTTTCACAGTTAAACATTTAAGAATTGCGCTTTGAAATAAACTGTATACAGTAAACCCCTGATTTACCGCAGAGTTTGGGGGAAAGGAAACATCCTTGTTAATTCGGGGTTTTGTTTGTTTACATTATGCATGTTAACTGTTACTTGACTTAAGCCCTATTTGGGGGAAACGGCCACAGTAAATCGGGGCGCGGTAAATCGGGGATTTACTGTATAATGTGTAGTTTAATTCTGAATCATTTAATTGTATGATCAAAGCCATACAAAAGAGAAAATTTTCTTGATGAGATGGAATGCATGGATTTGCTTTTGGTGAGCAGGACCGTGGTAATTTAAAATTTCATAATTTTGAAAATTTATCGCTTCAGGAAGGAAAAAGACCAATCGCCATTAGCAAGTGGACAAATAAATCCTATTCTACATCCTCGCCTATATAACAGGGCTGCTACTTCTCAGCAGGCCAGTCAGTCTCATCAACTGATCCCGCTTAAACCAAACAATAACTTCAATTCGGTTGGTGCTGTCAAGAGTGCCATCACTGCCAGCAGACAGATCCGTCTGAAAAAATCGATCTGCCGACACACAAAGCTTACAAAGGATTTTTGACGTTTTTGAGTCCTAATAGATGTCCTTTATGGCTGACCAACTTTTCCAAACTTTTCCACGTGTCTTAAGGCCACTTTTTGCCACTTTACCACTTTTTACCACCTTTCTTGTTTGTCGAATATCTTTAGTTGTGAACATCGTAAAAGGTTGCGGATCAATCGAGTGTGTTTATATTACCATGAAGAAAAACTTTTGTTCTAGCAATTTTTACGTCAGATAATCATTTAATTGGATAATTATCAATTAGCTAATTAGCAAAATTCTAAAAATTTTTTATTGGCTCAAAATGATCGGAATAGCTTAAAACACGCAGAAAAGTAGTTTTTAGAAAAACTTTGAAAATTTTTCACTTACATTTTTTTTCGAGACTTGGAAAAATTTCGAAAATTCAAAAAAAGAGCTGATCATCATGGCCCGAATATCCTACGGGAAGAACCTGTATTTTTACCTCACGACGTCCGGATTTCAAATCAACACCCTCAATAACATTAGCAATCCTTCCTGATATGATCAGAATCTGTCTCTATTAGCAATTTCCAAAATATCCTGACTCTCGTGGAACATTTTACTGAATGAATTATTACCGGTTCTTTACTACCCCTTGCCCGACGCTCGTATCTAAATCTTATCCTTGCCCGTATGTTACCCTTGTTGATTTTACTTTTAGCCGACCCTGACATATGGGGGTGATTTTATACCGCATAGCAAATGAAGCGATATGCAGTACAATACAAAACAAGTCACAGTAGATGTTGGAAGGTGTATTTACACTTGCTTCCTAGATCTGGCTGTTCCTTAGTTTCCCTGGTCTGTTCTTGCCTTCTTCGAACTGTAAATGAGCCATGAGGCCAAGTATACGTTTTCGTGATAAACTGTAAAACGTCTCTATAGTCTATACCGGGTTTCTCACGGTATTAAGCGTTTCATAAACCATATTATATGGCTCTTAATGAGGTTTCCTGGATATGGCTGTTCCTTAGTTTCCCTGGTCTGATCTTGCCTTCTTCGAACTGTAAATGAGCCATGAGGCCAAGTATACGTTTTCGTGATAAACTGTAAAACGTCTCTATAGTCTATACCGGGTTTCTCACGGTATTAAGCGTTTCATAAACCTCATTAAGAGCCATATAATATACACGTATCAAATGCGATATGAACAACTTGGCTTGATTGTTGAGGAAAAGAAGAGGTCTGGTAATCCAGGTAGGCCGGTTTAAATTAGCACAATTGACGGTACAGAGAGGTTTTATTCATTACAAATGTGATTATCTTAACCCCACTGATTCATCATTGAAGTCAATAAAATGATAGTACAGCAGGCTATCGTTTCGTCTTTAGATCTTGACTGTGCCATTGGTGCAGTTTCTGTGAAAATCGATAAGGCTGTATTGTAATTAGTTATGAAACTCTTATATCGTATGGTTAACGTTTTTCAGTTTCATACCTTTCCACTTAGTAATTCCTGATTACTAAAATCTGCCGCGATTTACTGAACTCCAACTACAAATATTGGTGATTGAAGTACTCTTGAAACGAAAAATTCACTAAGTTTTTTTGAAAAGCATTTTTCTCCGCGTTTCATGCGATTTGATCACTTTTGGCGGAAAAATTTTTTTTTGAATTTTCGAAATTTTTCCAAGTCTCGAAAAAAAATGTAAGTGAAAAATTTTCAAAGTTTTTCTAAAAACTACTTTTCTGCGTGTTTTAAGCTATTCCGATCATTTTGAGCCAATAAAAAATTTTTAGAATTTTGCTAATTAGCTAATTGATAATTATCCAATTAAATGATTATCTGACGTAAAAATTGCTAGAACAAAAGTTTTTCTTCATGGTAATATAAACACACTCGATTGATCCGCAACCTTTTACGATGTTCACAACTAAAGATATTCGACAAACAAGAAAGGTGGTAAAAAGTGGTAAAGTGGCAAAAAGTGGCCTTAAGACACGTGGAAAAGTTTGGAAAAGTTGGTCAGCCATAAAGGACATCTATTAGGACTCAAAAACGTCAAAAATCCTTTGTAAGCTTTGTGTGTCGGCAGATCGATTTTTTCAGACGGATCTGTCTGTACGGGTAAATGCCTCACAGAATGGCTAGCCTCACAGAATGGCCAAATTTGTAAATGTTTTTGTAACTAATTTTTTCCCGATCCATGACTCGTGCCGAAGGCACAAAAGAGTCAAGGACAAGGGTTAGCGATCGAGGTTTTTTTTGTATATGGTAGCTTTGCGACCGAGCGTGCGTGCGTGCGTGCGTACGTGCCTGCGAGCACTGTTATCGCCCACGTGACTACTTGCGCAAAGTTATTTTGCGTGATAATCTGAATTATATAATTGTTGGCGCGCGGCGCTGAACCAACCAAGTACATTATTCATTTCATCATGTACGTATCCCACTAGGCACTAATTGATAGCATATTATTATTATTTTGAGTTAGTATTACTATTTTGCACAGATCCGTGTCAGGTTGCATAAACAATAAACATATGGTTACATAGAAGTATACACGATTTTCAAATTCAATATAGAATTATATTAACTGGGCGGCGCTCGGCAGTCGGCATGTCACTTCGCCATATTTGCATGTTTATATAAACAGTAAAGACTGGGCCGTCCCCAGGTTGTATGGAATATGATAAATACGCCATCACGGATCGGGAAATTGAGCGGCCATCCACAAAAGAAAAGCGGCCGCATTTCTTTATAAAAGACTGGTAGGTTTTGTGGATACCATATGAAACAAAAGTCTTCTGGCAACACTTCCTGTGGTGAAATCATTAACTAGGACCATAGTACAGACAGATCCGTCTGAAAAAATCGATCTGCTGACACTCAAAGCTTTCAGAGGATTTTTAACGTTTTTGAGTCCCATTAGGTGCCCTTTATGGCTGACCAACTTTTCCAAACTTTTCCACTTGTCTTAAGGCCACTTTTTACCACTTTACCACTTTTTACCACCTTTCTTGTTTGTCGAATATCTTTAGTTGTGAACATCGTAAAAGGTTGCGAATCAATCAAGTGTGTTCATATTATCAGGAAGAAAAACTTTTGTTCAAACAATTTTTACGTCAGATAATAAGTTAATTGGATAATTATCAATTAACTAATTAGCAAAATTCTAAAATTTTTTTATTGGCTCAAAATGATCGGAATAGCTTAAAACACGCAGAAAAGTAGTTTTTAGAAAAAATTTAAAAATTTTTCACTTACATTTTTTTTTCGAGACTTTGAAAAAGTTTCGAAAATTCAAAATATTTTTTCCGCCAAAAGTGATCAAATCGCATGAAACACGGAGAAAAATGCCTTTCAAAAAAACTTAGTGAATTTTTCGTTTCAAGAATACTTAAATCGCCAATATTTGTAGTTGGAGTTCAGTAAATCTCGGCAGATTTTAGTAATCAGGAATTACTAAGTGAAGAGGTCTGAAACTGAAAAACGTTAACCATACGATCGCGAGGCGATATAAGAGTTTCATAAACTAATTTTCACAGAAACTGCACCAATGGCACAGTCAAGATCGAAACGATAGCCTGCTCTACTGTCATTTTATTGATTTCAATGATGAATCAGTGGGGTTAAGATAATCACATTTGTAATAAATAAAACATCTCTGTACCGTCAATTGTGCTAATCTAAACCAGCCTACTATACCTGTATTACCAGACCTTTTTTTTTCCTCGACAATTAAACCAAGTTGTTCAAATCGAATTTGGTGGGTGATGTAAGTAGTAATGCGCTTAGTCAATAAAGACACCGTGATTTTTATTAAAAGGAGATGATGAAGCAAGTATTTATGACACAAAGAAGAATGGTCGGTGGAGATTGGGACCCACTTAAATCACCTTAACACAGTGCCCTCAGTAATCTATCCTGTCATTCAAATTATTTGATATATATTAGTGTTGAAAGTATTGAAACTAATACATATCGATAATCGAGCTGTATTCAATCAGAATACGACACAATACGTGTATATTATATGGCTCTTAATGAGGTTTATGTAACGCTTTATACCGTGAGAAACCGGTATAGAGACGTTTTAAAGTTTATCACGAAAACGTATACTTGGCCTCATAGTCATTACATGGCTCATTTACAGTTCGAAGAAGGCAAGAACAGATCAAGGAAACTATAGTTTCCTGGACCTGGCTGTTCCTTATAAGGAACAGCCAGGTCCAGGAAGCAAGTGTAAATACACCTTCCAACATCTACTGTGACTTGTTTTGTATTGTTCTGCATATTGCTTCATTTGCTATGCTGGATACCTCAAATCACCCCCATATGTCAGGGTCGGCTAAAAGTAAAATCAGCAAGGGTAACATACTGGCAAGGGTAAGATGTAGATACGAGTGACGGGCAAGGGGTAGTAAAGAACCAGTAATAATTAATTCAGTAAAATGTTCCACGAGAGTCAGGATATTTTGGAAATTAATAAAACAAATATTTAATAAAACAAATATTTATTTTTACGGCACAATCAAACAATATCAATAATAAATAAATCAGGGGAGGTTTGAAGAGGTTTCAAGTGCCGAAGGCCACTGCTTATCTTTAGGATTTGAGAGTGACCTGTGCTTGAAACCCCCTCAACCATCCACTACGTCAATATACTAATTACAGTATACAAATATAGAAAAATATAATAATCTTAAATTACTTATTGGTTTAGTTTGGTGACAAAGGAGAGCCCAGTTGAGTTTTAGTTTAGCTTTAGGTTTTGAATCACAGTTTAAAAGGTTAGCCATGTTTCATGGCAGAGAGAGATATCATGTGTGCATAGCCGTACCGGATGTAGAGTTTGAGATATAATATAGATTAGTTACCATGTATTAGGGTCATTTCGATTTTGGAGGGATAGCAAGTGCTTTTTAAGGTTAGATTTAATAACACCTGACGAAGCTGATAAGTCTGAATTCTTGGAAGAACCCGGGATTATCAACCCATCTACATTAGCATCACATATTTCGAATACATAGGGGCTGAGGTCATTCCAAATTTTCGTAGAGGTGTACAAAAAGTTCTGTTGGGAGATATCTAACCTCATTGCTAATAGAGACAGATTCTGATCATATCAGGAAGGATTGCTAATGTTATTGAGGGTGTTGATTTGAAATCCGGACGTCGTGAGGTAAAAATACAGGTTCTTCCCGTAGGATATTCGGGCCATGATGATCAGCTCAGGATTAATGTGGGACAGATCAAAGAGCATTGAAAAGAGCGAGTCGAAATTTTAAGCTTTCTGGTATTTTCTTGCTTTCTTTGAGCTGTCAAAGAGCCATGAGGCCAAGTAGACGTTTTTTGGCCATGAGGCCAAGTAGACGTTTTCGTGATAAACTGTAAAAACTCTCCATACTGGGCCTCTCACGGGAGAAACGAGAAGTGTACGGTTAACGGTATAGAACGTTTCATATACCTCATTAAGGGCCATAATATAATATACACGTATTGCATTGTGTCGTATTGTGATTGAATACAGCTCGATATGTATTACTACTTACATCACCCACCAAATGCGATATGAACGACTTGGTTTGATTGTCGAGGAAAAAAAGAGGTCTGGTAATACAGGTATAGTAGGCTGGTTTAGATTAGCACAATTGACGGTACAGAGATGTTTTATTTATTACAAATGTGATTATCTTAACCCCACTGATTCATCATTGAAATCAATAAAATGACAGTAGAGCAGGCTATCGTTTCGATCTTGACTGTGCCATTGGTGCAGTTTCTGTGAAAATTAGTTTATGAAACTCTTATATCGCCTCGCGATCGTATGGTTAACGTTTTTCAGTTTCAGACCTCTTCACTTAGTAATTCCTGATTACTAAAATCTGCCGAGATTTACTGAACTCCAACTACAAATATTGGCGATTTAAGTATTCTTGAAACGAAAAATTCACTAAGTTTTTTTGAAAGGCATTTTTCTCCGTGTTTCATGCGATTTGATCACTTTTGGCGGAAAAAATATTTTGAATTTTCGAAACTTTTTCAAAGTCTCGAAAAAAAAATGTAAGTGAAAAATTTTTAAATTTTTTCTAAAAACTACTTTTCTGCGTGTTTTAAGCTATTCCGATCATTTTGAGCCAATAAAAAAATTTTAGAATTTTGCTAATTAGTTAATTGATAATTATCCAATTAACTTATTATCTGACGTAAAAATTGTTTGAACAAAAGTTTTTCTTCCTGATAATATGAACACACTTGATTGATTCGCAACCTTTTACGATGTTCACAACTAAAGATATTCGACAAACAAGAAAGGTGGTAAAAAGTGGTAAAGTGGTAAAAAGTGGCCTTAAGACAAGTGGAAAAGTTTGGAAAAGTTGGTCAGCCATAAAGGGCACCTAATGGGACTCAAAAACGTCAAAAATCCTCTGAAAGCTTTGAGTGTCAGCAGATCGATTTTTTCAGACGGATCTGTCTGTACTACCACATTTTCTGGCATAAATATGACTGTTTATGTAGAAATTTTGAGCACTGAAAAATTTGTTTTACAAATTTTTGAACTAAGTTTACATTTTGGTGAGAACTTCTGGCACCAGTATGACAGAAGATGTTCAAAGAATAGTATTCATCAAACAAAACGAACATTGTTCAATATAGGAAGAAAAAAATGCTAAAATGGTTACACGCCTCACAAAATGGCCAAAATATGCCTCACAAAATTTGTTTTCAAATTTTTGAACTAAGTTTGCATTTTGGTGAGAACTTCTGGCACCAGTATGACAGAAGATGTTTAAAGAATAGTATTCATCAAACAAAACGAACATTGTTCAATTTAGGAAGAAACAAAATGTTAAAATGGCCAAACGCCTCACAAAATGGCCAAAATATGCCTCACAAAATGGCCAAAATTTAAAACTCCTTTTATTCAATGAAACCATAAGTCTAAAGTATTCACAAGCTATTTATCATACAATAACACCCCAGATGGAGTGTTTTTACAGCCGAATGAAGGTTATAAATCATGAAATCAGGGAATATGAACAACGCCACACAAAATGGCCATTTTTGGTGTAGGAAATTATGCCCTTTTTATTCAGTTCTAAGAAATTTCACCTATATGGGGGTGTTAACAAGGCATATTAATACCAGCAGCACGCCTGAAACAAGAGCCAAAGGTTTTAGAAAAATAAAATTTTCTCGTTTTCTTTTTTTTTGTCATTTTGTCAGGAATTTTTTCTTTTTTGTGAAATAATTTTTCACAGCTCAGTTTTTTCGTGAGTTTTAGGTTATTACCCCCATTCCTTAATAGGTTTTCTAAGAACGTGTGGTGATAGAAATTTAAAAAGTATCTCCATCAACAAAATTATAGAAATTCAGATTTGGCCATTCTGTGAGGCATGTTTTTTTGGAGGAAGATTTTCCGGCCAATTTTTCTCAAAGAAAAAATGGTTATGAGATTAAATGAACCCCCGGGAAGAAAAATATGAGTGTCAACTTAGCTTCTTATGATATGAGATAAAAACTGGAATAAAGTGTGTTTTGTGACTTTGAGAGACCTTCCTTTTTTTTGGCCATTCTGTGAGGCAAATACCCGTACTATTATTACTATCAGCAATACAAACTTGGAAACGAACTGGCACGCAAGAGATTCCTTGACTCCTACAAACGCTTCATGGATAATAAAGGGACGCCCGTCTGGAGAATACCCATGGCTGACATGACCAATAAATTCCTCTAGATTTCTACAAATTGTACCAAGAAGTTTGCAGCAGGAATGGGATGCAAGTGGTAAGGACCGTGGGCAGCTTGTGATCTTATGTCAAAAATATTTGAGTAGTTTCTGTTGACATCAATACTTTAATAACACAACAGCTGACCTACAAAATACATAATAGATTAAAAGGAAATGTATAATAATAATGATGCCTCCAGACATGAAATTAACAAAACCAACTTGTGTTCGAAACTGCTGCTTTAAAATATGATCACTATCAATGGTTACATCATGCTGTTCTCTGCTGTTTTTTTTGTACTGTTTTCTTATAATTTCATGATAGTTCTGCTCTCCTAGGTCAACCAGAAAAGATTATGGGGTGAGATAGCTGAAGCACTAAATCTTAAAGATGACTTGAAATTTATAAACTTCTTGAGGGAACAATACGTCAAGTACCTATATGCTTATGAGTGCAAGCACAAACTAATAGTTAGGGCAAGAATAAGTTTGAACCAAGATCATGGATGTCCTACCCGAAAACACATCACCAATGTACATGTGAGTAATATCTGTGGGGGGGGGGGGGCAACATTGAACGTTCTGTTAAAATAAGCATTTCACTTCATACGTTTAGTCCAGGAATATTTTAAACAGAGTTGACTGTGGAATAACACATAACCACTATAGAAAGCAGCAAGTGTACAGTATGGGCCCAACAACACCAGTAACAACCCTCTACCCCCCTCAAGCCCTATATCCTCGACTCCAAGTGCTACTACTAATATACCAAATGGGGGTCCACCCCTTATTGTACCCAATGGGGGTGCTCCTTCCTCTGCTTCTTCCATGAGGTCTGGACTACAAGCTACTCCCTCGACGCCAGCCATTCCACGCTCTAAATATTATATCCAAAGTGATATACAGTACCAGCCTTTTTCATTGCAGTACCAGCTAAGCAGCCTACCAGATCAGGCTGCCTTCCTAGAAACTTACCAGAGGTTTTGTGCAGCGCAAGGGTATCCCTGTAGCGAGGTTCCTGTGGTGGACTTTGTTAATAATGTCAACTTTGATTTGTATCAGATGTACACGAAGGTAGTTGAACAGGGTGGATACCATGATGTCAGCAGTCAATCCACAGTAAGTTGGCTTGTTGATTTGAAATAATATTGTTCACCATTTCCGTATGTAGGTACTAGGTATGTGGATTGTAGAACATGCATAAATAATCACTGAAGAATAATTTCTGGGAACATCAATACTTCTTCAAAATGTGGATTCCTGTTATAACATGATTACTCTGGCAGGAACGAGAAGAAAACCTTATATGGAAAGAGATAATAAAGAAAGCACTGAATCTGGAAGCTGACAAACTATCGTTGAAGTCCGTAAAACATTTCTACAAGAAGTATCTTCTAGATTTTGAGATTTACTATCGTGGTGCAACGCATTTTCCCTCGACTGCTAGTGGCTCAGCGAGCAACACCCTAAAGAGGAACCCTACTGACAACGCACTCCCTCGCAACAAACACAAGAAAAACCGGGTTAGTCTACTAATATAACTTTTACACCATTCATGAATTATTAATTATAAATATTTTGAACAGATTCTGTCTTTATCATCATGGAATGTAAGAATATAATTTGGTTGAGTTGAATGAGACTAGAAAAAGTATGGATACGGTCGATTTAAAGTAAAGGTCCTGACGTTTACCCACCTGATCTTTATTCCCGACTTTCCCATCTAACCCCTTTTACAGCCAGAACCAGTACAGTAACCTCAGCTCAAAATTTGCCTAGACCCAACATCTCTACCTTATCTGTTGGATATATCCCGTTCAACATATAATATTGGAATAACAACAACCCTTCATCGCAGGTATCAGGCGATTCTGGTGGTTCTAAAGTAGCAGAACCGGACAGCACTACCTCTCACTACCTCCCTATACTGAACTCTGCAAGCTCTTCTCTGGTGTCTGACATAACTCCCTCCCCCAACATTCCGGACATTCCTCATAATGTCCCGCCTATGTTATTGCTCTCTACCGCGGGAATGTTTGACCAGACCATACAGTCGAAGGATGGTAGTTTAAATTATCTCTTGAATTCTCAAGATCCCAGTACATCGCAGGGTGTGGAGGATGCGTTCCAAGATGATACGGATGATCATAACAACCAGTCCTTCCTTGATGGTGATGGTGAAACTTCCGTGGCTGCTGATGAGGCAATTATAGAAGAAGAGAGGTTACCTGAGGCTGTATTGACTGCCAGGAATGTTGCCTACGAGAAGTTAGCTAAGGCTCGGAAGGAATCAAAAGAAACATCAGTTTTATTCAACTTGACACCTTTAGACCAGAGTGATCCCGAATATGACAGGCTGACTGACAAAGCCAAGATATTCTTTAATTTGTTTTCAAATTCAACAGTAGAGATCACTGAGATGTACAAGGTTCAATGCCCTGCAAACAGAGTTCACTTTTACGAGAAAGCAGCGAACCTAACCGTCACATCCAAGACTGTGGAACTCTACAAGTCCTTTCACTTGATCCCTTTCCATTTACTAAACGAGGAGAAGATCTACAAGATCCTCAAGGAGAATATTGAAGAAAGGCTGTTCTCGCTTTACAAACACGCTAAAACAGAAGCAGAGGGGAACCTCACATTTGTTGTCTGCGATGCTCTTCTAGGACAAAACATTGACATCAGTGACAAAGTGGACATAGCTGAAGAGCCGATACCTTTTGTTGTATCCTACAAGAACCAGATAATGCTGAAATACGTGGTTACCTTGAAGGCAACTAAGATAGCTGCTGTGCGTAAGTCTAACCCTTACTCTGATGTCCCTGACGTACTGGCTCAGCTGAACGACGGTGTTTGGCAGATAGATGTCAAAACATTCGACTTCAGAAACGCTTCAGATCCGTGGAGTGACGTGGTTATGAAGGCGACTAGTTTGTACAATGGAGACTGTCTTAAAAGACAGACTCTCAAGTATAATAAATGTCATAAAAAAAAGATCTCACATTTGGAAATTGTAGTTTCTCACGGGATATGGAAAAAGTACGAAGCTCAGAAACACAAGATGGCAAGTAGTGGCGGCAAGGAAATCTACGCATACCACGCCACATCACCCCAAAACGTGCAGAGCATCGTGCAGGTTAATCTGGATTGGCAGCGCGCAGCAGTACACGGACGTGCCCATGGCGACGGATGTTACTTCAGTGAGTACCCTGAATTCAGTCTCAAGTATAATCGGCAGTGTATGCTGATATTCAAACTCATTCTACTTCCCAACCAGTACAGCAGAGTTAAACCAGATAAGCAGGGCTACTGTGAACAGATCATTATGTGGGACAATACTTTATTTAAACCTGTCTATGTGCTCTATTTTTAACTAGCAGAAAGCAAAAACATTATTATATGTATATTGTATAATATAATTTATCGTTCCGCTTTTCAAAGATTATTTGATTGAAAACTGATAATTTGCCCAGTATCGAATGAAATCATGACTATTTTAATGCTAAATGCGAAGGTAATTTTTCAGTGTGGCTCAGAATTAACTGTGTTGGCATTATTTGATATGTATCGATATTATTATTATCGGTTATTATCGATATTAGGGTTCACAATGAATAATATTACTAAACCTTGTCCTTTATCTTATGAAAGGCTCACACGTTCGTACTGATATTGTCAATTCTGAGCCAACATCTATTATTTATAATTAAGTAATATTATAATTATATTATAATGATCTCGAATCAAGATATCTGTAATTGGTAATTGAAGCATGAATAAAATTTTTATTTTTACATATTTCATGATTTTTACAAATTAGTAGGGCGTAGAGTGTTTTTAAGTTGAGAATTGGTTCTATATTGTTTCATTTTGTTTTAATACTAACATTCGTACAATGATTTTTAAAATGAACTTTTTGCTATGTTATCGTGTGATATAATCTTAAAATTTAAACAAAGGTTTAATGTATTATTTGATCATTAAAATAACTTATTGATCTATTACTTGACTTTTTCATATATTTAATACTGCTACGGTTTTAGAGAAGATTATATTACTAACAACTTAACCTGATCAGTTACTTTAGTAATTCAGAAAAACATTCATTGTAAAGAAAATATTAAAAAGCTATATTACTATAATATTAATTAATATAGAAAATTATTTACATATTGTTATGACACATGGTATTAAATATTATTGTATCACATTGTGATATAAAATTTGTAAGTTTTCAACGGAAATATTTTTACGATTCTTGTGGCTAAATCTATCAGAAGAATGTAACCCAAAACTCTGTTAAAAATTTGTAACAAATGTTTCTGTCTATTTATATCTTGAGTTCATGTCTTTTATCAAATGATAACTTTCTGAAGTTTTAACCGAACGAGTACAGGATACTTGCTTTTTTCTAATAATTGTACAGATTTAGCTTATTAAATTATTATCACATAGGTTTTGACCAATTTAATTAATTTAACTAATTTAGTTTGAAAAAATTAGAAATGCCAACATTTGTATCATTTACACATAATTCTCTAAGCAATTACACTCATATTAAACAAATGAAATTAATATAAAGTCGTAAATAGTATTGAACTAGACTAACAAGTAACCATGAATATGACCATCGTAAACATAGGTAACTAATATTGCCTACCATTTGCATTATTCAGACAACATGGCGTCAGTAACGGATTTCCTCTCCGAAATCTCGGACTCGCTGCTGTTTTGGGTGTCTCACCCAGTACAGTTCATTCTCCCTGTGACAGTACCTTCTCCTTCTTTATGTGATACGCTGATGTGGGTGTTACTAGTTTCCAGTGTATTCTGTTGGGTCATGTCCCTTCTCACTGACAACTTATCACAGGTCTGTACCTTTAGTTTCTGTATAATTAATCTTTTGTTACATCGCCCAATTTCATGCTGTCCAAAAAGTTCGAATCTATCATGCAAAGTTCATTATGAAATCTAAATCCATCCCTCTATCCCAAATACTCTAATATATATAACACTTAGTAATGTCTTCCCAGGTAGATAGACTCTGGTCCCTCCTACCACCTCTCTACTCTGCTATCATCACATACTACTGTATAAAAGAGAAGGGCGTGGCCTCCTCCTCTGGGATGATGCTGATGACACTGATAACCTCGCTGTGGGGTGGACGCCTCACTTACCAGTTTATAAAGAAGGACGGATACACACTGTACGGGGAGGACTACAGGTGGGAGTATGTAAAGGAGGTGTTTCATGGGAGGTACCTCACTCTCCAGATCTTCAACTTGTTCTTTGTGGTTATCTACCAGAACATCCTGCTCTTCCTCCTTGTGGTGCCCCAGGCAGTGTTGCTCACACGTGACACCACGTGTTCCGTGTCTGACGCACTGATTGGGCTACTCTACATGGGGCTGGTGGTGTTGGAGACGATGTCTGATGCCCAGCAACAGGTGTTCCAGAAGGAGAAGTACAAGCAGAAAGGAGAAGGAGTGGAGTTAAAGGGGGACTACAAAGCAGGGTTCCTGAGGTCTGGGCTCTTCAAGTACTGCAGACACCCTAACTACGTGTGTGAGGTTCTCCTCTGGTGGATATTCGCTCTTTTCTCTCTCTCTAGACTGGGATTCAACTGGACTTTCATTGGAGCAGCTAACTTGACAGGACTGTTCACTGGTAGTGTGGATATCACGGAGCAGATCTCCAGTAAGAAGTACCCTGAGTATGAGGAGTATCAGAGGAGGGTACCTGCTTATATTCCTAGTGTTAGGATGATTAATATCAAGTAGTTGTAGTACTTTAGAAAGTTTCAATTTTAATTTGGGATCTTTTAATGTTGTAGGCTTTTAGAATTTTAGCAGTTTTTACAATTAGTGATAGTGTTTTATTAATGTGTTTATATGCTGTGAACTATTATGGTGAATCGTATTATAGAAGGTTCTGGTTTCCTTTTCTTTAATTTATTATGTTTTAGACCTTTATATTATAAGTAAATGCTATCAGAATGTATACTATCAAAAGCTATTTTAAGTTTAATTAGAGGTTCTTTATCCTTGGGTCGGATCATTGGTGTCCTCCATGAGTTTTAAAGTCAGTGATCATATTTATATTATTTTATGTCGTTAGTAAATCATGATTTATAATTTTGTTGAACTTATTATAATCATGTTTGTTTGTTTTATTAATCTCACATTGTACATATTGAAGATACTCATTACTTATGAACCAATTCATTCAGCCCACAAATTGGAAAATTATCAATAATTTTGAAAATAATCTTAATTAATGTAATGCTGACAGGACTGACTTCCCTTACAGGTAGTGTTAAAATGTACGCGTAATGGATACCACAGACCAAGCTACCTATGTGGAGGGGGTGGGTGACGAGGTGGTATTCGTCACCATGGTGACAGCCCTAATCCTCTTCACCCTAACCATAGTCTACTACATCACCTCCTCCAAAGTAGATCACCATGGTGACCCCTCCACCACCCAGCACCCCCAACTCCACCCCACAGAAGGCCCCCACTCCGACTCCTGCCCCATCTGCCTGGACACCACCTCCTACCCCGTGCAAACTAACTGTGGCCACGTGTTCTGCGGGGCGTGTATGTTGGCTTGTTGGGACCACAGCGAGTGGCTGCTGAGTCCCATGCCTTGTCCCATGTGCAGACAGACTATAACTCTCATCTTCCTTCACTTTAACGAGACGGAGTTAACCACCGTTAACCAGGAGAGACCCCAGCTACTTGACAAGATAGGGTCCTACAACAGGAGGTTCAGTGGCGCGCCGCGCCCCTGGATGGACTATATCTACGATATCCCCACGCTTATTCGCAGAATGTGGTCAGACAGTGGGTTAGATTTCTTGATGAGATTCCGTATTTACGCTTACTTTGCGTTAGCTCTTATCTATGTTATAGCGCCACTGGACCTGTTGCCAGAGTCAGTGTTTGGTGTGGCGGGAGTCATTGATGACATCATTGTCATTGTAATCATCGCACTTTATGTTACAAATACTTACAGAACGTACGTGGCCTATAGGAATTTGCAGCCGCTATTGAACGCTGGCGGCATGAATAATTAGGGGCCTTATTTTCAGCTCCTAATTAGGTGCCTTATTTTTAGCCCCTAATTAGGGGCCTTATTTTCCTAATTAGGGGCCTTATTTTAGCTCCTAATTAGGGGTCTTATTTTCAGCTCCTAATTAGGGGCCTTATTTTCCTAATTAGGGGCCTTATTTTCTAAACAAAGGGCTGAATATGTTAGTTTCACTTTTAGGCCCTATTTTTAATGGATATTTCACTCTTTGAATCACTTCAACTCTTTAAGATTTTAATTGGTTTTTGTACAACTTGCCTTGCATACATGCACATAATTAGAACTTTAAAATACCAGCATAATATTATAATGTATAATAATATAATAAGTATTGATAATAATTATAAATACCACTGTCATGTGTATTCTATGTCTTGTAATAACGATTATTATTATATTATCTCCTGAAATGAACATCAAGTGTGGCATTACGAGAACGTATAGAATATACATGCCCCCGCGATCTATACAACACAGTGTATTGTCAACAACACATAGAACTACGATTGTACAGCTGTTATGCTGGAATTAGGGGGCCTGTAACGTAGACTGTAAGAGGATCTCCTGGCTATTTTTATTGTTAGTCTTTTATAGTCGTTTTTAGATGCTTCGTAAATCTTTGTTTAGATGAAGAAAGTTGTAGTATTTAATTAATGATTTATTGATGATGAAATATCTGTTTTTAATGTAGTTTTATAGTGCTGTTCATATTGGTTTTAGCATTTTCATTTCCTCCATTTGTAAGAAAAGTTTTACATTTCACAAGTTTTAATCTTTAATGCTAATGGGGTTATATCACTAATTACAAAGGTTTATACTTTATAGCCTCTATATCGCAATGAGACTAGTTGTAGTAACCATGAAGTTGAGTGTGGAGCAGCAATATATATAAATATATATAATAGAGATATAATGATTAATGATACACGACTACACGCACCTCCACTGTGTTATTCAATACTTTTGTCATTTACTCGTGCGGCGGTTCACTCAGGAATGCTACTTTAAGTATCAAGAGGATTGATATTCTACTATTGTGTTCAGAGATTGTGGGAGGGTAGGAGATGTTGCTGGGTGTTGTTGCTTGTTTGATAGTGATTTGTTGTTTTTGGCTAATTTTTGATTGAATATATTATATTGTAGTTACATTATATTTATGTTATTATTTTTTCCCGATCCATGACTCAAAGTGCCGAAGGCACAAAAGAGTCAAGGACAAGGGTTAGCGAACGAGGTTTTTTTTTGTATATGGTAGCTTTGCGACCGTACCTGCGAGCGTGCGAGCGACCGTACCTGCCTACACACACTGTAATCGCCCACGTGACTACCTGCGCAAAGTTATTTTGCGGAATAATCCAAATTAGCTAATTGTTGGCGCGCGGCGCTGAACTGACCAAGTACATTGTTAATTTCACCATGTACATATCCCACTAGGCACTAATTGATAGCATACTATTATTATTTTGAGTTACTTATACTATTTTGCACACATCCGTGTCGGGTGTCAGGTTGCATAAACAATAAGCATATGGTTTTTAAAAATATACACGATTTTCAAATTCAATATGGAATTATATTAACTTGGTGGCGCTCGGCCTGTCACTTCGCCATATCTGCATACTTATAAACAGTAAAAACTGGGGTCCCCAGGTTGTATAGAAAATGATAAAATACGCCATCACGGATCGGGAAATTGAGCGGCCATGCACAAAAAAAAGCGGCCGCATTTCTTGTTACTGTTGCCAATGGCTACTAAATTCACGGGAGGATATTTTGATGAAAAAGTTTTGAAATAGATTTCGTTGAACTGAACAGTTTGTTATGTGGCTGTATTACTTACTGCTACTACTGGCAATGAAGCACGTTAATATATTGTGTTTAACTGTGCAAGTATCTATTAACATACATTTTCATTTAGCTAAAGTCACACTCGCGCATGTAACTGTCGTTACACTGTAACCATTGTAACACTGTAACCATAGTAACAATCTAGCCTGTAACCACAGTAACACTGTTACCCTAAAAGGGAGGGCGGTGCAATTGTAACATGTATTAATGGATGAAGATGTCGAGCTAGACGCTAAATATAAATCATACGCAGTCCAAGTTGAGAAAGTCCTCAAACAGTTTGAAAGTCCAAGAGAATGGGCCGATCTCTGTTCTTATCTCAACAAACTTAAGCGGGTAGGTGTTTTTGTTTTTTAACTTTTAGTTTTGTGGCGTTGTGGGAATCGTTCATGATTTTTATGGTAATTTTATCATGATTTATTTTCATGGATCTACATAATATTAGGTTGCACGGTGTTAAACATACAATACTTATTATTCATCATATTTTCTGTTATTATTAGCACTTTCTTCACTTTGAAGAGGGAATTATCCCTGCCCCATGTTCCCAACAAATACATTTTAGGTTATCCATGATGGATTGGCCAGTCTCAAAAAATACAAGCTTGTAAATATACCGTGTTTACGTCTTGTATTACCGTATTGTTTCGTGTGATTATTGAGGGGGACTCCTGGTTTGATTTGTTGAAAATGTTAATATTTTTGATAAATTTAATCTGGATCCACCCTATTAAGCCTTCTTCGACTGTTCAGCTAGACTTTTGCTATCTTTTACACTTTACAGTTGATAAACTTATTTTCTTTTTAATCTTTACATTTTTACAAGCATTGATCTCTTGATCTTCGTTCATAAGCAATATCCTACAAGAAATCAAATTGTTTTTAAAATGTTAGTTCTGTTTCTTCCGAAAGATCCCCACATCCAGAAAGTTTTATATTTCCTCCCAGATGTGATTTTTTCTAAATTCCGTGGCCCGCACGCTTCGCTCGCAAGTTTGCCTTTTTTTCTGTGGCCCGCTCGTTTCGCTCGCAAATTTTTAACACTGGACCAATTCACGAGCAGGGATCCAGCGGGGTCCAGGGGGGCGCAGCCCCCCGGAAAATTTTTGCGAAATAGGGTGTTTTAGACGACATTTGGCATTAAAGAAATTTGTAGGACAGCAATAAACTGGGATTGAAAAGAATCAAGTACTCACGTAAATTTGGTAACTTCACAACAGCAATCTGCATTCTCCAATCAGAATATTTCACTGTGTTCCAAAACTGACAGGATGTTCCTCTTTGATTTTTATACAATCGAAAGATTTTCTTCAAAAATTTCCTCGATTAATTTGTCTTTATTCCAAAAAAATATTTCGAAATTTAGGAGTAACTTCTCAAAAATTTCCTCTTTTTCCTCCCGGTTTTTCCTCCCAAAAAAAATGTCCTCCCAGAATGCCTGGCAAGATGGCGTGTTTCTGGATGTGGGGAAGGATCTTTTCGATTTAAACTTGATTTCCAAAAATGGATTCTTTCTTGGTTGAATGTAGATCCAATGTAATTAGTACGGAATATCTAGATTACACGCACCACACTTTATATTAATAAAATTATATAATGTTTTCTATCCACTAAAACCACTCCCCCTAGATTCTGCAGAACAATGCAAAGTACAACCTCATCCCAAAGAAGCTTCTCGTAGCTAAACGTCTCTCACAATGTCTCCACCACGCTCTTCCCTCGGGTTTGTGGGAACTTAATATTTAATTGCGTAATTAATTGGTACTTTAGCGACAACGACTAGGTAAGTGTTACTAAGAAGGGTAAGAAGTTAGTTTCTAGTGTTGCTGTTATTCTTCTTCGATACTGATTTTAATTATTATTTCATGACAATGCATTAGATAGCTTGATTTTGTGCAAAAGCTGTAAAGGTGGCTACCAGTACCTCTGCCTTTATCATTTAAAGAGGTATTTAAAGGGTATTGTACAGTAAGTGCCAACTTGTGATATTATAACAGTAACTGTAACTGTAACAGCGCATACAAGTCAAAAGTAGAAACCTCCCTCTGATTTGATTACCAAGTCTGAGGAAAGTACTGGAATTATTATCAAAGTAACGTTTAGACACTTCTAAGAAGTGTCGGATGTGAATTGTTTGTAAGATTAATGTTAATAATCAGCTGGTTTTGCAGTTGTCTATTTTAATTAAGATTCTCTAAATAACCAGGGTACACTGGAAAGATCTGGAAATATTTTCTCATTTTCAACCAGTTTAAAAGAAGATAAAAGTTTGATAACAACAAATTAAGGAATGTAACCTAATATTGTATGATCTAATGTAAGACAGTGATACTTATCTTATTGAAACGTGCCAACAATTTGAACTGCAAATCTCAGTAGAGTCACATGATAGGTTTAGTGGGTTAAGATAAATTGTGATCACGTACACTGGGAGGTTCATATTTTCAAAATTTGATTGAATAATTAGCGAGGTGTGCTTATCCATTGCTCCTTAGCGGGGGGATCAGGTACTAAGCTATGTACCTGACGTCGACCACCCCAACGTCACGTACGGTACTAAGTGTATGATCCCCCTGTCCTTAGATCCATTAACCACCAAAACAAATTTTAAGCTCCTACTCGACCATCTTATTTCTCTCTCGGTTACAGTCAACAGTTTCTGGCCACCCACAGTAAGTGGGAAGCCTTCTTGCCGTGCCCACAGAGTGCAACTCCTGCTAGCTACACGCCAGGACTCCCAAAGTATATACATAATCATAAACAAATAAATTCGTTATTAAGGGGGCCGGGGGGGGGTCTTCATCAAAATTCTCTCGAAATTGATTTTATAGTTGTTTCTAATAGAGGGGGGTGATATCTATCAGCTGCTTTTGGTCCAATGGAAAAATATTGTTCCTAGCCGAAATTATCGCTGGTCAAAGGTCAGCGCTCATGTGTAATTGTATTGCGTGAGCGATTTTCAATCGCGCGTCCTGAAAATCGAGTCTAGAAATCTATCTTCTCCTACATTTTTTTAGCAATCACCCTGAAACTTTCAGGATATGTTTTAGGGATCATTTAGAAGAGAAGTATGGAGCCGAATTTTGAGATAGGCCTCAGAAGATTTTAAATTCGATTTTGAAAATCTTGGACCTCATTTTTTGACGATTTTTCCAGGTCCCCTTAATACATGTACATTAAACCACTACAAAGTCCCAGTAACACATAATATCTCCCAGGTGTCCACCTGAAGACACTGGAGGTGTACGTGATCATCTTCAAGAGGATAGGAATGGAGCGTCTGTCACGTGATCTCTCTATTTACAGTATGGGACTATTCCCCCTGCTCGGACACTCGGCTATGAGTGTCAGACCAAAGCTGTTCGGTATGTTGTGGTATTAATTACTGTGATTGTCTTCTTTTACATGACGTGTCCTTTGAGTACTTTGCCCTAAAAGTTGTAAAAGTTCTAGTTGTTTATTTTAGAGTATTTTCAAAATCTTACTTTGAGCTTGCAATAAGTTTGAGTATTACGATGTACGATGTACATGCGTTATTGCTTTTACAGCGGTAAATTAACTACTAACACGGACCGTCGAGACATTGCTCTTCATTTCTTTATACTTTGACAAAAGCATTTTCTTTCTAGCTAGCTACTTGACTCATTGATAGGTTAGCTATATTTTGATTGCCATGACAACATATTGATGCCATGCTGCCATGACAACATATTATAAAAATGTCCGCAGACATATTTGATACATTCTACATTCCGCTGGGTACTAATCTGGAGCCTTGTCTGCACGGTTTTATACTCTCTCTGTTATCTGGACTTGAAGAGGGCAGTGAACACTTTGAGGCGTACGTTACTTAAATTACTACTTTTTATCTGGCAGTTTTGCTATGATTGATATGAGTATATTATAAATTATTATAATATTATTATGATTGTTGACAACATCGCTAATTGTACCTGTGCCTTGTAGAACCAAATATTAAGAATTGATTACCTGATTAGTAAGTTGTTGTTTCAGCGTCACAACACTGCTGGGTAAGGTAAAACAGGTGACCGACAGAACACTATTCTACGGATGCTTGTGGAGAGCTCTTATCTCTGATCCTAATGTCCGGTACCAGGGTAGTTTCTACGTTCTCAGTCAGATTACCAAACGGAAGAGGGTCAGTTGCTTTACTAATTTGCTTGAGCAGGGGGGGTGGGGGGGTTGAGCCTGGTGGGGGACGTAAGGACGTATGTTCTTGCCCATATCTGGTCCCTTTTTGGCCGAATTATGCCAAATCACGTCAACAAAACCCAGCTCTAATTGTAGCAAGTGGTCTCCTAAACTCGTATCTTCGTATAATACGAATTTGCATACTTGAGCCAGGGGAGGGGGCGTATTTTCTTTTACTTGGAGATTATAGTGGTACCCTTAGAAGGAAGGGGCCGGGGTAAACATTTGCGCCTCTTGCTTATTTTCTGTTTGGGTGAACCAATCCCCTATTAGAAATGATAGTATAATAGTTTACATTAAACAATTTTGTTAATAATACTATAATAAAGGTGTGATATTATAATCAAAAAGTGTAATAAGTAAAATCAATGGAAACTCCTTGAATAGTGAATAATGTTAATGTACATAATATCTAAAAATGTCCCTCGAAAGCAGAAAAAAAATTTTGTTCATCACAGTTTGAGTGTCAAACACAGCGGGAATCGCCAAATGAAGAACCAGTTGAATGTTTTAATGGTCTCCATATCATCAAGGTGTCTGGTGTTCACCGACACTAGCCTTCTCTTGCTGCTTGAATAAAAATTATCTCTGTTTTTTACTGGATGAAAATTTTGAACACTTGAATGATTTTTAACCGGAATGAGTCTAATGATGGAAAATTAAGAGTTATCTTTGGCTTGCATCGTAAGAAAGTTCACAATATTTGTCGTTTTTGTCGGAATGAATCTGCTGATGACGAACTAAGGTTGATTTTCGGCACGAAGAGAAAGAACACTCAGAGCATTTGTACGGGTTTTTGTTGCTGGAATGAGACAACTTATGGGCGACTAAGCTAGATTTTTGGCTTGCACTGTAAAAACATTCGGAACATTTGTATGGTTTTTCGTCAGAATGAGTCCACTGATGGGTGGTTAAACGTTTTTTTGTGCTTGTACTGTAAGAACATTCAGGGCATTTGAAAGGTCTTTCATCAGTATGATTCCACTGATGGGAAATTAACTGTGATTTTCGGCGAGCACTGTAAGAACATTCAGAGCATTTGTACGGTTTTTCATCAACATGAGCCAACCGATGGGAAGTTAACTGCGATTTTTGACTCGTGCTGTAATAACATCGATTGCATTTGTGCGGTTTTTCATCAATATGAGTCCACTGATGGGAAGTTAACTGTGATTTTCGGGGCGCACTGTAAGTACATTGAGAGCATTGGTAACTTTTTCTTATGGGATGAACAGTCTTTAAATCCGGGCGTTTCGCTCCCAGATGTGTCCACTGATGGGGATCTAATTGGGATTTTTGGCCTGTACTGAAGGAACAAAAGCAGCATTTGTACAGTTTTACAGTGGAACTGTAAGGTTGATCGTACAGAATGTTTGATCCTGGAACCGGTGAATTGTTGTTTTCTTGACCAAAAGGACACTCAGGATATTTCGGAAGCTCACCGGTGACTTCTCTTCTTGAGGATTCCTCGCATTCACTTTCCACATTTTTATAGGGTTCCGAATCAGGGATGTTTTGAATTTGTGAAGAAGGAAGAATTTCCTGTACAGTTGAAGTAGATTGATCATGTTGAAATTGCTCGATGAACGATTTCTCGGAAGGAAAGTTCAGCTCATAATATGTAGGAATATCAAAACTGTCCGATGTAACAAGGAGTCCATCTTCTTCTGTTTTGACTTCTATTTTTATGAATTCTGATGATATGACGTTTTCTTCCTGCTTTATTTCGTCTTTAATAACTGCCACCGGCTCATATACACATTCTTCATTCATTGTAGACCTGGTCCTGAAAGTTTAACTATGAGATTATTTATAACTAAGATAGTTATAAGACTGAATAAGTAAGTTACAAAATACTGGTGAAAAATTATGATTCTGCACGACAAGATAGCATTGTATTGAGTTGTTGCTAAGATCGAGGATACATTGAGAAAATGATACGCAAGACATTACTCATTACTGTAGCTAATAAAATGTTTTTGAAGCATATACATAGGTTTTTACCTAAGTCAAACAGACAACGACACCTATTGATGAAGAGCATTCAATGACAATTATATTATCGTTATTATAATATATAATCTAATGATTAAAAACCATACACATGTAAGATACTATAAACTACAGTCACATGACCACAAAATGCTAACATCAATAATTACCCACATGCGCTTTCTAAGGCAAGTGATCGATTAGCGCACACCTGTTCACAGCTTTTTCCACGATAACAGAGTCAGAATCTATTTGAGGGACCACATGCAAAACTGGTATATCTGAACATATACCAATTTTGCGCAGGTAGCTCATAGTCTTCAGGGTGAAAAGGTGCATCTTTGGAATTTTTTTTTGAACAATTTTGAAGAAATTTTTGAAAAAAAGTGAAATTTAATTTTTCCAAAACTGGTATATGTTACAATATACCATTTTAGCTCTTAACAATCATGAAAACAAAATGGTATATCTGCAGATAGACCACCTTCAAGAAACTTATCTTCAATAAAACCGGTATATCTATACACATTTTATAGACTTTAGCCAGCCCAAATGGTATATCTTCAGATATACCATTCTCAGTTAAATTATTTTATTGTTTATAGTATAGAAAAAATGGTATATCGTGAGATATACCAGTTTTGGTACAATTCTAGTTTTAAAAATGGTATATAGACAGATATACCATTTTTTAGAAGTGTTTTTTACACATGATATAGAATCTTTAAATCAGCAAAAATGCATTTATCTCAAAACTATCAAAAACAGATATACCAGTTTTGCATGTGGTCCCTCATTTATAAATTCTTTGATGGTAATTGCATGAGTAAATGTTCTCCAACATGAGCCTTCTGTTGCTACTTCAACCAGACCCATCTCTTTTTGAATATTGTGGTAAATTAAGTGCAATTTTTGGCTCGTTATAATTTAAGAACTTTAGAATGAGTCCGCTTGAGAATGAGTCCGCTGATAGTAAATTATGGAAGATTTTCTCTTTGCACTGTACGAACATTTTGAACATTTGTACGGTTTTTCATCAGTATGAGTTTGCTGATGAGAGTTTAAGTTTGATTTTTGTCTTGCTCTGTACGGACATTGAGAGCATTTATAAGGTTTTTCGTCAGAATGAATCCGCTGATGAAGAATTAGGCTATAATTTTGTCCTGAGGTGTATGGACATTCAGAGCACTTGTACGGTTTTTCTCCGGAATGAGTTCGCCGATGGGAAACTAAGTTTGATTTTTTGCCAGTAGAGAATGGACATTGAGAACATTTGTATGGTCTTTCTCCAGAATGAATCCTGAAATGGGCATATAAGTTCGATTTTCGCCTTCCTCTATACGAACATTTAGAGCACTTGTATGGTTTTTCATCGTTGTGAATCCGCTGATGAGGAACTAAGCAAAGTGTTGTATTATACGAATATTGAGGGTATTTCAATGACTCATCAGCAACTTCTTCTCTTGAAGATGATTTGCCACATTCAGTATCCACATTAAAATAAGCCTCTGACTCACTCTCAGGAATGGTTAGAATCTCTTTCACATTTGAAGTACAGTGATCACGTTTAAATTGCTTGATGAACGATTCCATGGAAGGAAGCTGCAACTCAAATGTAGGACAATCAAAAGTCTCCAATAAAATAGAAAGTTCATCTTCTTCTGTTTTGATCTCTATCTTTATCAGCTCTGCTGATTTACTGTCTTCCTCCAGTTTTATCCTGTTGAAAACTTTGGATCCTGACACATTTTCATTCTCCATTACACTGAAGAGGGTAAGCTGATAAACTAATCAAGAATTGTGCGTTAATTTGTCGGAAAAAGTGCGTGAAGTGCGTCCAATTTTTTAGTGCGTTTAAGTTCGAAAAAGTGCACGTTTTACTTTATGTCACTACTTTATAATTAGAGAAGTAGAAGAATTGCGGCCGCTTTTCTTCTGTGGATGGCCGCTAAATTTCTCAATTCGTGATGGCATATTTTATTAAATTCTCTTTACTGTTTATATAAGCATGTAGTCTCAGATAAGGCGGGGTGACAACATACAGGCCGAGCGCCGCTCAGTTAATTCCATATTGGTTTTGAAAATCGTGTACATTTCTATGCAACCCTATGTTTATTGTTTATGCGACCCGACAGAGAGACGGTAGAGACAGTATTTCGATTTTCGGCTCATACTATGATCACAGTAGTATGAACTATGAAGCGTAAAGAAAAGTAGTTTAAAAATTCCAAAACGAAATGTAATTTCATGGTCACTCCATAGTCCATACTGTCTGATGAAAACGAACGAATAGAAGTCGTCGTACTTGATTAATGATTATTGATATGGAAAAGCTTGATGGCGTAAATCAATAATCAAGCACTCTGTGGGGCCGTGGGGGGGGTGGGCCGGGGGTCATATTTTCTTCCAAGACACAGTTTGTATTTTGGTACTAAGTGGTAGGTCTGCTGCTCTTTTCCCAGAAAAACAGTAAGTACATGGCACTAACAAGTTCGTACAGCTAAAGAGTAGACGGGAGTAGACAGAAGATTATTGTACGTTGTACAATCTGTTTTTAATTAAGCATAGATATCTCAACTGTTTTATTGTTTACATTCAATATCTGATCCTTTTAAAACTAAAAAGTCATGTTTAATGAGCTGTTTACAGCAATTTTGGGTGGGTATCTTATTTTATATACCACGACACAGTTAGTACCGTGATTTCTCAACAGTTAGTACCGCAAAAGGTGGTGGGTGTCTTAATTATTATCCGAAAAAACAGTTAGTACCGCAAAGTGGGTAGTATAGGTTAGTCGATGTCACGTACAGAACTGAGTACCTGAGACGACTTTTATAAAGGCAAAGGAAGAACAGCATGAGATAAATTAAAAACTAAATGTTTCAATTTCGAAAAGTAGCCGATGATCAATCATTGTGTAGCATGGGATAACGGCTACACTCATAATCATGATTATTATTAGGCTCTGTTTCTCCGAAATATCAAGATTATGCACTTCTTTATTAGTTCAGAATTTATGGACAAATATTAGGAATATTATCAAAAGCTAGGTGGAAATAAAATGTCCTTAGGACATTTTTAAAATTCTACCGATGATAATGATCTCACTGAGTAGGGTAGTTCATTCCAAATGTTTTGTCCACAAAACATAAATGCAGCATCTGCTCGTCTGAAATGAGGAGCAGGAGGAACTTTCAACAAATAAAAGTCATCATCTAGTCTAGAACTTCGTCTTCGTACTTCTCTTAGATTGTCCTTGGCCTTGTAAGTACTGAGGGGCTGTGTTATTAAGACGCTTGAAGACCAGAAGTGATATTTTGAACTTAATTCTGAACTGAACTGGTAGAAAGTTACCTTCCTCGGAAATATTATATGACAGGTTTATTAGTGTTTGATATTGACTACTGGCACACGCTGCATGTCCCATTTCGAATGTGTAGTCTATGGATACTGTCTGCTATATATGATAAATAAATAGATTTCAAAAAGGCCAAAAATCATCGGTCTGGTTTTATGCTCAACCATTCTGAATTCTGATCTAAGTAAGTAAAATTAACCATGATAAACTTGCTGCTTGCATATCCGAATTCTGACTTTAATTTGGATGAAAATTGATTGAGAATTAAAAGTCTAGCAGGAATCCGTTTAACCTTAATCGTCTCGCTCCATATATATAGTAAGATACAAATACAATTAAGACACCATCCATAATAAGGTTTAAAAAACGTAATATGTATTGACGTGTACCTGTAGCTGTCAAGTGGTATTGGTAATATTGTGTCAGATTGAATATACATGTATATATATAAATATGTAAAGTAATAACAGTGTACTACTACTATTACTAGTAAAAGAGATCTAAAGAAGGTAAATTTACCTTTGTAATTTACAGGTTCGTAATACCTTAGTATTTATACTAAATATAAGCTACATCTGGTTTTGCAAATATTTCAATAACGATCAGCTGCTCGATCATTATCACCCTCCTTAAATGAGAATTATGATTAAATAATATTGAGAAGAAATTCCACAGGGTGGAAGGTAATGCAAAAATTAGTCTCACGGAAATCAGAAAGATAAAATGGCGTACCACGAACTAGGAAGACTGTACGGAAATAGCAATTTTGTTTGCAATTTTGACTGTACGGGAAAAAATTTGTACGAGACCAATCTATGGAGAAAAGTAAAAGAAAAACTGAAAAACGGGGAGAGCAATATTGTACGAGTAAATTCGATCAAAGAGTTAAAGAATATAGTTTAATGCTATATTCTTCAACTTTACGCCATGAAATACTAAGCATGCATGTCCGAAAGCCATTGCGAGGTAGTCCTGAAAATATTTTTAGAACATTATTTTCTCTCATTTACGGGGGGGGGGGGGGGGGGGGGGGGGGGGGGGACGTAACGTCGACTAAGTGTTATTTTGGAATTTTTCAAAAGACCCATATATATTTATAATTTGTGTAAACATTAGCTGCTACTACGAACCAGTCCCCAATCAATCAACTCTTTGATCTTTATTTATACCAGTTTATATTATCACTATCAGTATCTTGCTGTTATAACTCAATTACTGGGCTCTAAAGTTATCAGGGAAGGAGGGAAGGGTAATTACTTATTACCACCATCTTACCATGCTAGTAATAGGCTATAATATTACTAGGCTGCATTACTAGGCTGCATTACTAGGCTGCATTACTAGGCTGCATTACTAGGCTGCATTACTAGGCTGCATTACTAGGCTGCATTACTAGGCTGCATTACTAGGCTGCATAACGTGCCAAGGAATGTTAAGGGATGGTATTACGATGTAATACAAAGTGAATCATGATCCGAATTCCGACTGGCATGCATTTTCACATTTCTAACATTTGAAATAAAAATGAACATTCATATCTATATTATTATATTTTAAACTTGACGAAATCTCCCCGGTGACAGGGACATAAAAAAAAGCACTGAAAATTGACCAAAAACCGACCCTTCTTTCTGACCAATTTCAGCTCGCAAATGAAGTTGAAATGTTGGCAAGGTTGTAGAAAAAGGACAGGCGTCATAAGTCATAACCAGGACACAACCAGGACATGGTTATGACACCTGACAGGACAGTCAGGTGTCATAACCAGGACACAACCAGGACATGGTTATGACACCTGACAGGACAGTCAGGTGTCATAACCAGGTCATAACCAAGTCACAACTAAAAAGTGGTCACTAGCCGGCTATTCAATAGTAGCCAGTAAGTGGTCACTTGCCGGCTAGTGACCGTTATATATATCGACTTCAAGTGGTAGTATCGCTTTTAAGGATACCAGTTAGTCAACGAAAATGGCGACCAAGATTCTAGAGGTCACGCAAAAAATACGAAACGAAAAGTATAGATACAAACAAGGACTTCTCTCATAACAGAAGGTTAAGGGGGGGGGTTCACCCTGTTTTTTTTGTGAAACTTAGTTTCGAGATAGCAGTTGACCAACAAACTAGGACCGGTGACCAAAATTTTGAGGGGGTCCCGGACCCCAACCGCCAAACGGTGCCTGCGGGGCAGCCACGCCCATATTTGATCCAAATTAGGCCCAATTTAGCCAAATACCCCGAACATGCCCAAAACCCAGATTTTAGGTGCTCTACTTGTAGCTAGTGTTCCCCTGAACTCGTATATGAATTTTCATCAAGATTGGACAAAAAATGACTGAGTTATGAGCCAAAAACCATATGACCATATTTGGGCATACGCACCAAATTTGATCGATTTTGGCCCATAAATTGGTCAAATATCAATATTTTTGAATGAAACCAACTTTATATGGAAGATAAGCCTATACTACAGATTCTCTATGATTATCAGCTCAATATCTATCTAATTTGCCGGGCATTTTTCAGAATTTGGCCGCCAAATTTTTTTAAAGGCCTAACTCAAAATTCCATATTAAAACTTAAGGTCGAAATGCGATTCTACGTTGATTCTGAAAATTTCATGTAAAAATATTGAAACCCTATTGAGTTCTATTGTTTTGAACGAAATCAGTTTCGCAAATATCGCGAACTGAGATATGGGCGATTTTGTTCATTTTTTGCGATTAATTGAACACAGAATCCACAGTTAGATAGATATTGAGCTGATAATCATAGAGAATCTGTAGTATAGGCTTATCTTCCATATAAAGTTGGTTTCATTCAAAAATATTGATATTTGACCAATTTATGGGCCAAAATCGATCAAATTTGGTGCGTATGCCCAAATATGGTCATATGGTTTTTGGCTCATAACTCAGTCATTTTTTGTCCAATCTTGATGAAAATTCATATACGAGTTCAGGGAACCACTAGCTACAAGTAGAGCACCTAAAATCTGGGTTTTGGGCATGTTCAGGGTATTTGGCTAAATTGGGCCTAATTTGGACCAAATATGGGCGTGGCTGCCCCGCGGGCACCGTTTGGCGGTTGGGGTCCGGGACCCCCTCAAAAGTTCGGTCACCGGTCCTAGTTTGTTGGTCAACTGCTATCTCGAAACCAAGTTTCACAAAAAATTCAGGGTGAACCCCCAGCCTTAAGGACGTGTCACCTATATAAAACCTCATACTGAATATAACCTCAACAAGTATGAGCAATGATAATTATATTATCGATCGAATTACATCAGATACGCGTACGGGATTTTGGGTTTACATCAACTATGAACCTCTAATCAAAATTGAAAATTCCTAATCATAAATGTTCTGATAATTTAATAATTTAGTTCAAGACCACAGTCGGGAAACCATCTTCCTGTTTAATAATTTTCGTCTGCACTGTTCGAAACGTGATTATATAAATATAAGTGATTTATATTTATATGATCCCTCTCCTGCAATTGCTAACTGATAATATACCTTCCCCGACTAGCCCGGGAGATTTCACTGAATATATAATATCCACTTGATATTATAACGCTTTTAAATATACCGCGGACTTATCCTTCCCCCAAACTCTGCGGTAAATCGGGGTTTTACTGTATTATATATTAAGTTAACCTAATAAAACTATTGCTTGTGTTCAGGTTGGACAGGCGATATTAGGGGACAACAGAGAGACTCTAATAAAGGCACTGTGTCTGGGTCTCCAGGACTCCAACACTCTCACTCAGAGGAACTTCCTCGACTTCGTGCTCTTCGCTTGTCCCCTTAATAGTAATTACTTTATTAGACCTGTCTTCGCTTGTCCCCTTAATAGTAATTACTTTATTAGACCTGTCTTCGCTTGTCCCCTTAATAGTAATTACTTTATTAGACCTTTTAATCTAAAAGTGGAACAAATTCTTTATGTTATACACCTGTTTTAAACATTTACATCCCATACATAATACTCAATAAATGTAATAGATTTGTTACAATAAGTTTAAAACTTATTATTGTTAAACTTACTATTCGAACTTCTTTACGTGTTAATCAGAGAACGCATTGACTAACTATTTGTTAGTTAGTAATTGTATTTTATAATAATAACTCTCCTCCCCCAGCTCGAGAATTCAGCAGGTCTGATATCCTGAAGTTACCTGATTACCTGGTTACATGGTTACCTGGTAACCTGGTTACCTGGTTACCTGGTTACCTGGTTACCTGGTTACCTGGTTTTATATTAATAACTCTCCTCCCCCAGCTCGAGAATTCAGCAGGTGTGATATCCTGAAGTTACTGCGCGCTGCGCTGTGTGTTCTGCTGCGGCGCGACATGTCCCTCAACAGACGTGTGTATAACTGGCTCGAGGGCCACGGCGCTGAGGAGGCTAATGAGACTAAGAGGTTATTAGCTGATTAGCTGGTTAATTTAGGAGATTTATTGCGAGATATTCAGTTTTAAGAGCAATATTTATGGCTGGGGTGGCACAGATTTTAACTTTGTTTAAACAGCCTTTTAGTTCAGACATTACATTGTCCCAAAATTTCAGGATTTCTATGACTAGCTTGGAACTGACCAACATAATGGAAGAAGTGGACGGAGTTAAGGGGATCCCCCCAGACAAGGTCTCAGAGGACAGTTTCCAAACGACGTGCGACCTAACACCTAAACCCACTAGAAAGACATTAGATGGTGAGGTGGGGGAGGAGGTGGTGACTAATGGCGGGGTCTATGTGGTGAAACCCTCTGCTCCCCTGCCTGAGTCAGATCAGGATAGTGGGCCCTCTGCTCCTCACCCTGACTCCAGTGACAGGTGGGTTAGAATAGAGTATGGAACGAACTAAAGTTGTTAAGAAATCAAGATAACACGATATCGTGTATAGTGAGGTCACACCTAGAGTTAACAACTTGACCCATCTCTCTACAGGGAAGAAGGAAGCTCAGAAGGGTTAGAAGACAGAGTTTATGAGAAGATATTCGAATTCGACACAGAAGACACCATCACCCCCGTCTCCACAGACCAGTCAGTAATGTCACCTCTTGTAGGTGAGGTGGATACTGATGGGGTGATGCTGAAAAGACAGGACTCTTCTTTTACTGCTGAGCAGCTAGAAGCTGTCAGGGCTAAGTTTTACAGGTATGTATTTTGGGGGTTTTATAGGTTTTTCAGAATGTTTTATAGTACTGTCCTCCTCTTATCACTAACACTGTCCTCCTCTTATCACTAACACTGTCCTCCTCTTATCACTAACACTGTCCTCCTCTTATCACTAACACTGTCCTCCTCTTATCACTAACACTGTCCTCCTCTTATCACTAACACTGTCCTCCTCTTATCACAAACACTGTCCTCCTCTTATCACTAACACTGTTCTCCTCTTATCACTAACACTGTCCTCCTCTTATCACTAACACTGTTCTCCTCTTATCACTAACACTGTCCTCCTCTTATCACTAACACTGTCCTCCTCTTATCACTAACACCGTCCTCCTCTTATCACTAACACTGTCCTCCTCTTATCACTAACACTGTCCTCCTCTTATCACTAACACTGTCCTCCTCTTATCACTAACACTGTCCTCCTCTTATCACTAACACTGTCCTCCTCTTATCACTAACACTGTCCTCCTCTTATCACTAACACTATCCCCCTCTTATCACTAACACTGTCCTCCTCTTATCACTAACACTGTCCTCCTCTTATCACTAACACTGTCATCTTCTTATCAATAACACTGTTCTCCTCTTATCACTAACACTGTCCTCCTCTTATCACTAACACTGTCATCTTCTTATCAATAACACTGTTCTCCTCTTATCACTAACACTGTCTTCCTCTTATCACTAACACTGTCCTCCTCTTATCACTAACACTGTCATCTTCTTATCAATAACACTGTCCTCCTCTTATCACTAATACTGTCCTCCTCTTATCACTAACACTGTCCTCCTCTTATCACTAACACTGTCCTCCTCTTATCTCTAACACTGTCCTCCTCTTATCACTAACACTGTCCTCCTCTTATCACTAATACTGTCCTCCTCTTATCACTAACACTGTCCTCCTCTAATCACTAACACTGTCCTCCTCTTATCACTAACACTGTCCTCCTCTTATCACTAACACTGTCCTCCTCTTATCACTAACACTGTCCTCCTCTTATCACTAACACTGTCCTCCTCTTATCACTAACACTGTCCTCCTCTTATCACTAACACTGTCATCTTCTTATCAATAACACTGTCCTCCTCTTATCACTAATACTGTCCTCCTCTTATCACTAACACTGTCCTCCTCTTATCACTAACACTGTCATCTTCTTATCAATAACACTGTCCTCCTCTTATCACTAACACTGTTCTCCTCTTATCACTAACACTGTCCTCCTCTTATCACTAACACTGTCCTCCTCTTATCACTAACACTGTCCTCCTCTTATCACTAACACTGTCCTCCTCTTATCACTAATACTGTTCTCCTCTTATCACTAACACTGTCCCCCTCTTATCACTAACACTGTCCTCCTCTTATCTCTAACACTGTCCTCCTCTTATCACTAACACTGTCCTCCTCTTATCACTAACACTGTCCTCCTCTTATCACTAACACTGTCCTCCTCTTATCACTAACACTGTCCTCCTCTTATCACTAACACTGTCCTCCTCTTATCACTAACACTGTCCTCCTCTTATCACTAACACTATCCTCCTGTTATCACTAACACTGTCCTCCTCTTATCACTAACACTGTCCTCCTCTTATCACTAACACTGTCCTCCTCTTATCACTAACAATGTTCTCCTCTTATCACTAACACCGTCCTCCTCTTATCACTAACACTGTCCTCCTCTTATCACTAACACTGTCCTCCTCTTATCACTAACACTGTCCTCCTCTTATCACTAACACTGTCCTCCTCTTATCACTAACACTGTCCTCCTCTTATCACTAACACTGTCCTCCTTTTATCACTAACACTGTCCTCCTCTTATCACTAACACTGTTCTCCTCTTATCACTAACACTGTCCTCCTCTTATCACTAACACTGTCCTCCTCTTATCACTAACACTGTCCCCCTCTTATCACTAACACTGTCCCCTCTTATCACTAACACTGTCCTCCTCTTATCACTAACACTGTCCTCCTCTTATCACTAACACTGTTCTCCTCTTATCACTAACACTGTCCCCCTCTTATCACTAACACTGTCCTCCTCTTATCACTAACACTGTCCTCCTCTTATCACTAACACTGTCCTCCTGTTATCACTAACACTGTCCTCCTCTTATCACTAACACCGTCCTCCTCTTATCACTAACACTGTTCTCCTCTTATCACTAACACTGTCCTCCTCTTATCACTAACACTGTCATCTTCTTATCACTAACACTGTCCTCCTCTTATCACTAACACTGTCCTCCTCTTATCACTAACACTGTCCTCCTCTTATCACTAACACTGTCCTCCTCTTATCAATAACACTGTCCTCCTCTTATCACTAACACTGTTCTCCTCTTATCACTAACACTGTCCTCCTCTTATCTCTAACACTGTCCTCCTCTTATCACTAACACTGTCCTCCTCTTATCACTAACACTGTCCTCCTCTTATCTCTAACACTGTCCTCCTCTTATAACTAACACTGTCCTCCTCTTATCACTAACACTGTCCTCCTCTTATCACTAACACTGTTCTCCTCTTATCACTAACACTGTCCTCCTCTTATCTCTAACACTGTCCTCCTCTTATAACTAACACTGTCCTCCTCTTATCACTAACACTGTCCTCCTCTTATCACTAACACTGTCCTCCTCTTATCACTAACACTGTCCTCCTGTTATCACTAACACTGTTCTCCTCTTATCGCTAACACTGTCCTCCTCTTATCAATGACACTGTCCTCCTCTTATCACTAACACTGTCCTCCTCTTATCACTAACACTGTCCTCCTCTTATCACTAACACTGTTCTCCTCTTATCACTAACACTGTTCTCCTCTTATCACTAACACTGTCCTCCTCTTATCACTAACACTGTTCTCCTCTTATCACTAACACTGTCCTCCTCTTATCACAAACACTGTCCTCCTCTTATCACTAACACTGTTCTCCTCTTATCACTAACACTGTTCTCCTCTTATCACTAACACTGTCCTCCTCATATCACTAACACTCTCCTCCTCTTATCACTAACACTGTTCTCCTCTTATCACTAACACTGTCCTCCTCTTATCACTAACACTGTCCTCCTCTTATCACTAACACTGTCCTCCTCTTATCACTAACACTGTCCTCCTGTTATCACTAACACTGTTCTCCTCTTATCACTAACACTGTCCTCCTCTTATCACTAACATTGTTCTCCTCTTATCACTAACACTGTCCTCCTCTTATCACTAACACTGTCCTCCTCTTATCACTAACACTGTTCTCCTCTTATCACTAACACTGTCCTCCTCTTATCACTAACACTGTCCTCCTCTTATCACTAACACTGTCCTCCTCTTATCACTAACACTGTCCTCCTGTTATCACTAACACTGTCCTCCTCTTATCACTAACACTGTTCTCCTCTTATCACTAACACTGTTCTCCTCTTATCACTAACACTGTCCTCCTCTTATCACTAACACTGTCCTCCTCTTATCACTAACACTGTCCTCCTCTTATCTCTAACACTGTCCTCCTCTTATCACTAACACTGTCCTCCTCTTATCACTAACACTGTCCTCCTCTTATCACTAACACCGTCCTCCTCTTATCACTAACACTGTCCCCCTCTTATCACTAACACTGTTCTCCTCTTATCACTAACACTGTCCTCCTCTTATCACTAACACTGTCCTCCTCTTATCACTAACACTGTCCTCCTCTTATCACTAACACTGTCCTCCTCTTATCTCTAACACTGTCCTCCTCTTATCACTAACACTGTCCTCCTCTTATCACTAACATTGTCCTCCTCTTGTCACTAACACTGTTCTCCTCTTATCTCTAACACTGTCCTCCTCTTATCACTAACACTGTCCTCCTCTTATCACTAACACTGTTCTCCTCTTATCTCTAACACTGTCCTCCTCTTATCACTAACACTGTCCTCCTCTTATCACTAACACTGTCCTCCTCTTATCACTAACACTGTCCTTCTCTTATCACTAACACTGTCCTCCTCTTATCACTAACACTGTCATCTTCTTATCACTAACACTGTCCTCCTCTTATCACTAACACTGTCCTCCTCTTATCACTAACACTGTTCTCCTCTTATCACTAACACTGTCCCCCTCTTATCACTAACACTGTCCTCCTCTTATCTCTAACACTGTCCTCCTCTTATCACTAACACTGTCCTCATCTTATCACTAACACTGTCCTCCTCTTATCACTAACACTGTCCTCCTCTTATCACTAACACTGTCCTCCTCTTATCACTAACACTGTCCTCCTCTTATCACTAACACTGTCCTCCTCTTATCACTAACACTGTTCTCCTCTTATCACTAACACCGTCCTCCTCTTATCACTAACACTGTCCTCCTCTTATCACTAACACTGTCCTCCTCTTATCACTAACACTGTCCTCCTCTTATCACTAACACTGTCCTCCTCTTATCACTAACACTGTCCTCCTCTTATCACTAACACTGTCCTCCTTTTATCACTAACACTGTCCTCCTCTTATCACTAACACTGTTCTCCTCTTATCACTAACACTGTCCTCCTCTTATCACTAACACTGTCCTCCTCTTATCACTAACACTGTCCCCCTCTTATCACTAACACTGTCCCCCTCTTATCACTAACACTGTCCTCCTCTTATCACTAACACTGTCCTCCTCTTATCACTAACACTGTTCTCCTCTTATCACTAACACTGTCCCCCTCTTATCACTAACACTGTCCTCCTCTTATCACTAACACTGTCCTCCTCTTATCACTAACACTGTCCTCCTCTTATCACTAACACTGTCCCCCTCTTATCACTAACACTGTCCCCCTCTTATCACTAACACTGTCCTCCTCTTATCACTAACACTGTCCTCCTCTTATCACTAACACTGTCCTCCTCTTATCACTAACACTGTCCTCCTCTTATCACTAACACTGTCCTCCTGTTATCACTAACACTGTCCTCC